ACCAAGAACTGCTGATTTTGATATTTTGATGTGGTGGAAGTTGAATGGTATCAAGTATCCAACACTCCAAGCAATTGCAAGGGACATTCTAGCTATTCCTATATCTATAGTAGCTTCAGAATAAGCATTTAGCACTAGTGGTCAAATTTTAAGTCCTCATCGTAGTCGACTTCATTGGAGCACTTTGGAGGCCTTAATGTGTACTAGAAGTTGGTTATGGAGTGTTGAAACTTCTGGTAATGTTTAAGATAATACATTTAAAAATTTATTAAATGTTTGTATATTTTTATTTTAATAACTAATTTTTTTTTATTATATTTGATATTTACAGGTTATGAGAATTCTAAAGTAATCCATGAATTTCCTATTTTACTTGATGAAATAGGATCGGATGATGAAGGTAATGTTTTATATTATATTATTTATTTTAATGATTTATACTTTACTCAACACTTTTATAATTATTTTTTTAATATATATTAAATATTTCTTTTGTTTTATGTAGATGAAATGATGGAGGATAGTGACATTACTTTCCATTTGGAAGATGATCAATAAATGAAATATGTATGATAGAATGATGAATTGGAATTGCTGCTACTTTTTATTTGTATTTAATAAGTTTAAATATTATATTTTGTCTAGTTGCCTTGGTCCTTTTTTTTTTATGAAAAAATGGTATTTTATAATTTTGTTAGATTGAGACAACGTTATAATATTACTACAAACTTTGTTGAATTGGAAAATATTATATTTCGTTATAATTAGAATTTATAAACAACATCTACGTACAAAATGCATAACAATGCTAGCAAAAGTGTTGTGCCATTTATATCAAATTATCAATAATTTTGATGTCATAATTTCATATAATTAGATATAATAACAAAATATATTAAATATTATTAAAACTATTTGAGAGATATTTTGACCAAAAGGAATGTAAAAATTTGTATTATTTTGTTTTTTCTTTTATTTTTTAAATTTTTTTATTATTTATTAAAAATAGAAGAAAAAAAATCCAGGAGCGGGAGCAGGGGCGGGAAACCCGAACCCGGTCGGGGGCGGGGATGGGTACCCAGATTTTACCCCCAGCGGGTATCGGGGGCGGGGGCGGGGACGGTTTAAACCTGCGGGGACGGGGGCGGGGAACATAAAACCCACTCCCGCCCCGCCCCGTTGCCATGCCTAGTTGCATGTGTGCTTTGTGCTTGATAAGTAACTTACTCTTTTATCTCTATCTAGAAGATAATTGATGATTAAAATAAGTTTTAGAATTAAATTGCAAAGAGAAATGGTATGAAAAATCAAGATATTAAGTTTTCACTTAAAATAATTGATTGTTTCAAGTGATAATTGATTATTTTCTCTGTTTTTTAGTTACTTGAAGAACAATTGCTATAATAATCAATTATTCAACAAAATAATTGATTAAACTATTCTTGATTGATCTTTAGAATTACTAAGAACGAAATAATCGATTATTAAATAATCAATTATCCATGTAAATAATCGATTATTTTAGTCAGAAAACTTTTGTGCGCGCGTGTGTGTGTGTATATATATATATCATTTTTCACACTTTAAATAGAGAGACTTGATTCTTTGTGATATCTTTTATGAAAATCTTTTCTGAGATACATTTATCTTTGCAAGAAGGGGTTCTTTAACCTTTGTGGTAACCAATAGAAAGTTTTCAAGAATTAAATAAATCATCATGTTCATGGAGTGAAAGGATAAGCTACTTGATTGATTCACCTACTCTAATATGTTTTGTACATCAAGTGAATTCATTCCTTAAACTTCTATTTTGATTATTTTCTTAAGTGGATTTCTTAAGAAGGGAGAATCTTGTAGTGAGGTGTTATAAGTGGGTGCTTCTTGAGGTGCAAAAAGTGATTTCTTTAATATCGTAGAAGTATATTGCATGTAGTATTGTGATTGTAAAACTTGTGATATTAAATATTAGTGAAAAATCTTAATCAGATTAATTGAGGATTAGATGTAGGTTGTGAGGAATAAACATTGCATAAAGAATTGAGTCTTTGAATTTGAACTAAATATCCTATATACAACCATAGGTCAACATATTTCTTTGGAAAAATCTAAAAAAGTTTTTCGAAATCAAGATAACTACATAAGAAATTTTTAATCAACTAATTCATCCCCCTCTTAGTTAGATCATCTTTTCTAACAAACCTATCTCATCCCAAACATGCACCGTAAATCCCACATACAAAAAAAAGTGGAAGAAAAAGCTATTGTCACACTGTATATAATATTTTGTTACCAAAAATACCCTTGTCCAAAACAGAATAATGAAAATGAACAATAAATTACAGTAATTTTGAAAACTCTTAATTGTATGTTACGTTTGATTAGGGTTCAACTTCGAATTTAGATCCCACTCTTATGTAACTCTTTAATTTAATTTAATTTTATAACGAAATCGTTTTGGCCGTACCATAAAATGTATGAATGTCTAAAATTCAATTTTAATAACTTTCAGAATTTTAATTTTAAAAGTGATAAACAAAGTATTTTGAAATTTTTTTCCCTGAAACATTTTCAAGGCATTTTCAGAAATTTAATTTAAAGCATATTCAAAGTATTTTTTTTAAAGTTGATTCTGAAACTTTTTTTTTTCTTATCATGTTATTCACTCATTAATTTAAAGTTATGATATGAACTTTCACATATTTTAGTTAGTGGATTACACAACCTAAATATTTATTATATATAATTAAATTTATAATAAATTATATATAATATTATATTTAAATATATAAATTATATTTAAAATTTAAATAAATAGATATTTTTTAAACACATAAATTATATTTTGGGTTTTTGGTAAATAATTTATATTATAACACAATATTATTTTTATGTATCGATAATTTATTTTAAAAATATTAAAATTTATAAATAATTATAATAAATAAAAATTAATTTATATAAAAAATTATAAAAATTTCTAAGAATTCTCTAGTCAAAGAAAATTCCTAAAAATACTCATAGAGATTCGTGTTTAATCTATAGGAATTGATTATTATTTTGAATATGTTTAAAACACTAATTTTATGAAAAATTATTTTGGATATATATAAAAAAATTCTTTCAAAAATTTGATTCCGAAATATTTTATAAATCACGTGTATACTCATTTTAATTCGATAGAAATAATTTGAAATGATAATTGAAAAATAATAGGCAGTGTGATTCCCGAATGTTTTAAAGATTGATAATTTTTAAGTGTTAATCATCCATACACTGTCAGTGTAAAGTTTTTTACACTAGCAATCAATCATATCTTTTAAATTATTTTATTTTACTTTTATTTGATTAAATGAGCAAATGACATGATACTATTAAGAGATATGATTGGTTGTTAGTGTAAAAAAACTTTATACTGGTAGTGTATAAGTGATTAACTCATTTTTTAAAAATATATTAAAATTCATGTTAAAGTCACAAACAAAAATGATAAACCGAAAGAAATAAGTTGGAAAAAAATTACTAAACACTCTCATTCATAAAAATAATAATTAAAAAAAAAAACTCTTTGAAACGGTCGCATAAAAAATAAGTATTTTAATTAATGTCAAGAAGAGAAGATTATATAACACATTTTCTAATATATAATTATCAAACTGATATAATATTTTAATATTATTATACTCCTACCTTCTTATATTGTGTTAGTATTTATACATTTTTAACTTACTGAAACTCAACACAAATATCTTCGGGTTAATGGTGCTTTTATCTTAAAGTTAATAGTAATTTTAGTCTTGAAAATTTTCTAATTTTTCTTTTGTCTCTAACTTCTAAAACTAACATTTTTCCTTCCTGTATATGTTAGTTAATTGTTTCCCCTTATACAAATAATATAAAAAAAAACTAAACTAATGTTTCACAAATTGAAGATAAAAACTAAAATTTGAAGAAAAAAAATTGAAGACTAAATATACCATTAACTAAATATCTTTTATCTTTAAACCTCTTATTTTTTTATTTCAATCCAACTCAACATAAAAACAATTCGAACTAAATATGGTAAATAATCATAAAAGTAAATGATCAGGCTAATTTTTTTAATAAGACTAATCCAAAAAAATAAAGTTTGACCCTAAATTTTAGAACATTAGGCTTAACTTAGTTTGACACCTATTGGACTAGTCTGATCCAATTTTCTCACCCCAAGCTTTTGACATTTTTTTTGGTGGATGTCTGACATACATTAGACAACACCTGGATTATGCTATAAATATTTTTTAATGGTATATATTGCATACAGACATATGAACCTTGATTGTGCTATAAATATTTTTTTAATGGTCAAAAATGTATACAGGCATCATTAAACTTGATTCTGCTGTAACTATTTTCCAATGGTTCAAATAATACATAGACATAGGATAGTTTGGGCTTGTAGCATGCATTATATTCTATGGTAATGCACCCTATATTTTAGTTTAGAAAATATTATATAAAACGTAAAAGTTAAATCATTCAGATTGGAGAGAAGCATTATATTTAGTTTATAAAATGCCATATAAAAATATATCATTCAGATTGGAGAGAAGCATTATATTTAGTTTATAAAATGCCATATAAAAATATATCATTCAGATTGGAGAGAAGCATTTTCCTTTAAAAAAACTTTTTCACAATGATATCTCATTGGCCTATGCACAAATATTCAACAACGAACAATAAAAAACAAACATGAAAATGCCAACATTAATCATGCAATAATGTTCCAGCACACCTGATATACTATATAACGGTGCAAGTATGTCAACGATAAGATATGATCTTAATCCATGAGCTTGATAAGATATTTGCTGGTCTCTTGTCTCCAATATTTTAAACACTTCTAAGGGATGGGAGATTTGGAAAGGTAAAAATAAATTGTCAAATGATACACATGCAACAGATTTGGAAAGAAACACGAAAAAGGCTAATGTGTTACAAATTACTCGAAAAGACAATCATAAATAAACAATGAGATGATATATTCCAGACTGTAACATGCCATAGTATGACAACAATTACAAATGAAGTTCTGAATGCATTACATGTCTAATATCCTCCGGTGACCTGACTCGTATATCTGCTGTTTAAACAAAAATATATTTATATATATATATAAAAAAAAAAAAATGAAACTGAACGCTTTTATTCCAACACTAAGATTTCTACACTCATTGCAGCCCCAGCCACATACAGTAACGCTTCTGAACCAAAGCAAAAGCCTGTGATTGCATGCTCTTTGAAAGAAAAAAAATAAAAAAAGGTACTTATTGCAGAAGTATAAATCACACCCACAAAGCAAGATTTGAGACTCATATAAGGAAATGTGTGGCCGGATAATAACTCTCCATCACAGATCATGAGGGGAACGGCTATTATCTGAATGAGTTTGAGATCCAACATTAGAGTTTTGAGAGGTAAACAAGTTGGGGTACGAGAAATATGAGTCATCATCCATTGAAGGTAATCTCTTGGGTTGGTGACTAGAGGATTTGTCATTCAGTACATGATCATTGGGTAGGGAAGAATCAAAATCTTCCTTGAGTGTGTCAAAGGAAGGAAAACTTGATGAATGAGATCTTGGAGAAGTAGAATGATCCTGGTGATGTTCAACACCGTTTCTATTATGGACATCAGAGTTACCTGCAGTATTTTGCTCAGTAAATTGCTTATCTATTGTTGGAGATTCATTATCTCCACCGGCATAAAATGGGTTCTCCGAGTTGCTGTCTTGTACATGTTCACTACTTTTCTTCTTAGTCAGCTCATCAATTCGGACTTGAGCAAGGATAGCTGCTGCGCGAGCTGCAGCTGCTGCACGTTCAGCAGTTTCGGCAGCAGCATGGGCAGCAGCCAACACGTCCTGTAAGTCCAGATTGGTTTCAGATTTTGCGCTTGACAAGGAGGGAGATGAGTCACTGTGTCTCGCAGAAAATGATCCAGGTGATACTGTTGGAGGGGAGATGAATGGCACAAACTGTTTGTTCTCCATTTTACCAATTGAACTGTGGGATTCTTCTTTGTGAACTATTGATATATCTCCAACTTGCTCCTGCTTTACATCTGCAAAATCTCCAGAGTGGCTTGGTGAATCAAGATCAACATCAAGGGGTTCCATAGTCAGAGGTGTAAACATTTGTGGAGCGGTGGCAACATTTGCATTTGGCCGGACTGATACCTTTGGAACTTCAGGAAATTCTAATGTGTCAGAGCCGGAATCAGAATCTGGTTGTTCTTTATCAGGTGCATCATGAGCAGAGTATGTCTCTTCATTGTGTTTTTCATCAGGAAGGGGCAATTTAGACCCACTAACAAATTGGTTGGGGCCATTCTGACAAGGAGAGGACATGTAATGTAAGATAATGTTGTGTCAATGAAAGAACTTACCAAATCATTGTTCCTTTTTTTCTTATTTTTCCTTTTAGTTAGTCAGTCACTACAGGCTAACACTTACCAGTAAGTCTTCATGTGTTTTAAAGAACTCGGATTCTGAAGCTGCTGGATCCCAATCTAAATCATGCTCAACAGCAATTTCTTTTAGAAGGTTCAGTTTCTTTTCTGGTGAAGGAGCACGAATAGACAGCAGCTCTATTAACTGCAATTGAAATTTACATGGAGAATGTCATACTAGAAAATTGCTTTCTGTATAAAATGATTTATCACAAAAGAAAAGGTTTGTATAGCATGAAAAGTTCACAAAACCTGGCGATTAACACCACAGTCTGGCCTGAGCTCAGTCGCAGCAGATAAAAACTCCTTCCCATATTTGGCAGCAAATAGCATCTGAACCTGCACCAGCTCTGGCAGATCTGCGCACCTTGGTGCAGCAAAACACACACTAGATATGGCTTCCTTCAAGTCAAGAGGACATTCCCTGAAGAATAGTGAGAACAATGATACATGATCAGAGAATCATGGTTGACATTTTATACTTCGGTTATGAGAATGATCATGGTCTTGATCATAACATACACTTAAGAAAAATAACAGGATGATCTGAACAATGTTAAAAGTCCATTAAACACTTTTCTGGACTTCTAAAGCTCTCATAAAGATAATGATGAGCAAAATTCTTCGTCAGTCCAATGATATAATAGCAAACAATACAAGAAATATGAAGATTAGAATAGCATTGACAACTATTCAGGAGTGGATCTGTAACTGTTCAGCTCAATATTACTTGTTTGACTAAATAACTAGACAAAGTAGTTAAAGGCAAGCTTCTTTACTTTGCAAAGCCTAGCAATGGTTATCAATATAGATTATATTTGTGGTAGAATCGGACCAACTTCTCTGACAATGTATACAAAATTAAAGAGAAGTGAAAATCTCAAAAAAGCAATCTAGCCTCTTATAATATCAAACAAAGGCATTCCCTAGAAAGCCTAAGAGTTGACACCCATAGAAAAGCTATAAAAAAAATAAAAAATAAATTAAAAAACAACCTATCCCAAGTTCCCAACTCGGCAACTCCCAGAGACTGAGAGTTATATTAATTGAACTATTAAGAAATTCCAAGCTGACTCAGGAAATAAAAAACTGCATAATTGACAGTTAACAAGTGAAGGATGATTGAAAGAGTAATGACGTCTATGGCCACTCATGCACAGCAATTGAAGACCAAAAAAACTCTCATCACTTGTAGAACTATGTGGAGGCAATATTTGATGATTAGGACAGTATAAAAGGTGTTAACAACAGAAGTGGTGTTCACACAACTAATGATCATATGATAATTGGGGTAATTTTGTTGTCTGTGCAAGTTTATAAATTATAAAAAAAAAACACCTCAATAAAGAACAAACCTAAGGCAGTAATATTGACTGTGGCTGCATATAAGTCATTAAAGCCTCATCCAGTAGCTGAGGTTGCTACATGGATCAGTTGAAACCATTGGACTTTAACAAGCAAATTTTAAGTAAAAAACCATTAGAGCAAGCTTTTCTTAATGTTTAAATGTAATGTTCTCTTAGGTCTTCCTCTACCTCATTATTTTCAATCCAATCCATTTTTCCCACTAGAGTTTCTGACTTTCTGTTGGTCTTCTTCTGACACGACCAGACCACCTCATCAAAATTTCCATTGTTTCCATATTAGGGGCTACTCTGAATTTCTTATATATTAATCATTCGTAATTTTATCATTTTCTTGTATTTCCACTGATCCACTCAATCACCTCTGATTCTCATTTCTGATAAAATTACTTATTTTGTTGGCATTTCACTGCCCAAACACCAACAAGCGTGACTCATTTTATAGCTTCCATTAGGTTTTTCATTTAGTGTCATGGGCATTGTAATACTGAAGTCACTAAATTATACCCCAAGCATTTACCCATTTAATTATATTGCCACTAACTAAGTTCCAATTTGGATTGGCTTCTAGCTAATGAGAGCTTTTCAATTTAACAAGTATTTGATTTCAAAACTTACAAAAAAAAGCTCTTATAATTTTATAGGTGCAAAGAGTTAGATGAGAGAGCTTCTGAAAAATTTGAGGTGTATAAATTTGATTCAATTTCCCTCCTGAATTAATTTTATTTTCTAATCCTATATATGTTTCTCAAGAAATTTGCCCAAAATAGCTTTAAATCATATTGCACCATGCAGAAATTCAATGTTCAGAACACAGCCAAAAATTACTTGATCATTCAAATAATATTTCACCACGTCAAGGGTCAAGCTCTCATGGCAGATAAAAAAAAGAATTTGTGCAATGAATGATAATGAAATAGAATTCAGAGATTGAAAGATATTCTGAAAATATTCATCATCACTTCTAAGCTTACTACCAACCACTGCCTCAAATAATGTGGCTTTTACACTGTTTAATGTAGGTCCTGCCTTGAAAAAATTTGATCCTCCCTCATTACTAAATACTCATCTGCAGAACTTGGTAACATTTTTGTGAAATTCAGTTGAATAACATATTTACACTTTCACTAAAACGAGTTTTACAAATGACAAGCTTGAATGCAAAATCAGCATATCACACAAATTCAGACAGATAACCAGACTTTTGTTTCATCTCTAGACTACCTTTGAGATTCAATTATTGGAAGGCGGACAGAAATAAGTTCACAAAAGAGTTCAATGATTTCTTGAGCAGCCATCATGTTCTCCTCTCTGATAATATGCTCTACCTGCACAGATGACCACATGAAGAACATAACTACCAAAGAAAAAAGTACCACAATGATTTTCTTGTTTCCTGAACCATTGGCTTAAAATTCTCAAACAGAATAAAAATTAAACATTAAATATCCTATTCAAATCATGTTTACCCTAATTCGAGCTGTGGCTTCTTGGCCAGTCTCAAGTAGCTTCGCAATATCACGCCGCATATTCTTCAGCTGAATCTCTCTTCTGTTTCTTAGCAGCTTTATACGTGGAATTGTCAGTTTCAGCAGAGTTTTACTGCAAGTATGAACATTGCTAAACAAGTCAATTACAGATAAATTAAATGTCAAAAGACCTAACGACAACAACAATAATAATAATAATAAAAAAGAAACATCAAAATAGAACACTTGTCAATATGACCTATTGCAATACACATAATCCTTTAAATCAAACTGAAACACAGTCCTCATAAATTCATGTATGAAAAATTAAACCATAAGAAGAAAAAAAATACCCAGTTACTAAGTAAATAAAGATAAGAAATAATTCAGGATAAGCTATCTGTAATAGTTCAACAAGACTTATTGATGCACAGTACATAACTCATTGAGAGGGGCGCTGAAATTCAGCTATTAAATTCATTTCAAAGTCTACAAAATATACAATTGCAAGAAGAAAAAAATAATATAACCCCAGATTATATACAAAATCAAATAAATAAATAAAAACAGTACCATTTGGCAGCCTTAAAACCCTTGTTGAAGAAGGAATCGAACATGGCCATGGTGCGGGTTTCGATCAGAACCAAACCCTAATTCACAGGAAAATAAAACCCAGAAACCAAAAATCGAGAATTGCAGTGAGATTTACGATATTGAAGACAGTTTTGGAAATTTAAGGTTTAGATTTTTTTTAATTAAATTGAACGAGGAAAAGTGCGAAAGGTGGGATGAGTGTGCATTGATGATGATGAAAATTTTTTATAAGTAGTGTGTACCTGTCTATGGGTTTTCCTTAACGAGGAAGAATTTTGATTTCTGAAGAAGGATCTGTGAAACTGGACTCAACAATTTTTTTTGTTTGTTTTTTAAGTACGTGTGCGTGATGGATAATTATTATTTTCTTTTGGGTAGTCAATATATTTAGAATTATACAATTTATACATGTTATGTGTACTGTAAATGATAATTTTTATTTAATATAAATAAAATTGTTTTAATATAAATAAAATTGTAACTAGTAATTTATCCCTGTAATATATACATAAAATATTTATTATATAATTAAAATTTAAAATAAATTATGAATATAAAGTAAGTATTTTTATTTTATATGTGTTCATAGTCTGTGGGTATTATACATGATTTTTTTACGGATTTCATATTTATATTATGGTTACAAAAAAAAAGAGTATTTATTTATATTTATGATTTATTTGTAAAAATAATATTTATATGAAATATAAATATTATGTTTGAAAATATCAATTATATTTAAATTTTAAATAATTAGATATTTTTAATATATAAATTATATTTTAAATTTATGATAAATAATTTATATTGTAATATAATATTATTTTATTTATGATAATTTATTTTAAAAATATTAAAACTTAATTTATAAATAATTACGATAAATAAAAATTAAATTAAATATGAAAGTTAAAAGAATTTTTCAAAGTACTTTCCTTGAAGAAAAATTTGAAAAAAATAATCTCATGCAAGATAATTGTTCATATTTTATATGTAGATATTAAAAAATTTATATTTTAAAATAAATTATGTGAAATCCGTGAGCCTTTCCCTCCCCCTCCCACACTTTCATTTTCCTTTTCCTTCTCCATTTCCCTTTCCACTCACTCTTTTCAGTTGTGGATTTTCAAATTTAAGGATTCACATAGGTGCTGGATAGTAGAGAAGGTAGAAAAGCTTGAAGCCCGGAGTTGGTTCGCATCATAATTTCTCTTCTTCTTCAACCTCGAAGTAGCTCAGAGTTCATCGTTCACTTCGTTTCGAGGTAAGGGAAGTTAGAACTCGAATTTGTTATACATTTTGGGTTGCATGTAGTTGGATTTTCATCTAGGATGTGATTTGGAAGCTGATTAATTGAGCTGGGTTGGTTGCATGTTGAAAAGTTGAAACCTTGTGGTTGTTCTTGATGATCTCTTGAATCTTGGTACATGCATGTGGTGTTTCATGGGATTTTTGAGTTGTATAAACAAAATGAGTAAAGATTATGAAGGTAAATCATGTTTAGGGGTAAAGATTGATGGATTTTGAGTGAAAATCGAAGGTGAAACCATGGATTTCTAAAAATTTTGAGACCCATAGCCATGGTCGTGGATTCACAGCCATGGCCGTGGAGAAAAAATGAACTTGTAAAAACTCACAACTATGGTCGTAGATTCACAGTCATGGCCGTGGGAGGGAAAAACGTGATGGCCGAGACTTGCAGCCATGGCTATGGATTTGCAACCATGGTTGTGGGGGGGGGGGGGAATGGAGTGGCAGAAACTTGCAGTCATGGTCGTGGAAAGGAAACGGAGCTGGTAGAAATCCAGCGCTAAAGCGCTGATTTGAGCGCTGCAGTGGTGAGAGTATATGACCGAATTTGGTCTTAAGGTCTTCATGAAAGTTGTAGCCCTGGATGTTACCTTTCCAATAGCGCTGGAATCACCCAAAAATGAGTTCTAGAGCTCTAGTTATGACCTTTTTAGTGAGTAAAGGTCAAGCTGTCAGCATTTAGGAGAATGGTTGCGGTTTTTACAATTTTTAACAAGGTAGATGATGGAATTAGGACTAGTTGTCTTCATGAGAGTTGTAGGAAATCTTCTTATCTTTCATATGAGTTAAGGATAAGAATGATTGGAGTAGTATAACTCCCTATGGGTTGTTTTAGGTGAAGGTTGTTAGTGTATAAATATGTGATTTTGATAAATTGCATGTGGTACAGGTTGTATGATTGGTGAAATCGGTGATCATGAATAGAATGCTTGTGTCTATTGCATGTTGTGAATTATAGGATGATGAGAATGAACATTGATATGTTATCTTTGTGTAGTTAAAATTATAATAAGCATTGGAATGTTATCTTTGTGTACTTGAAATGGTGAGAGCATTGGTATGCTTTATATTATTGATATGCTATGTTTGAATTAATTGTGAAGCATTGACATGCTATTATTGTATAAATTGTTAAGCATTGGTATGCTGTTCTAGGTTGATATGTTAAGCATTGATATGCTATCATTGTATAAATAGTTAAGCATTGGTATGTTGTTATTGGTTGAGATGTTAAGCATTGGTATGATGTGCATGATTGATATTGTTGATCTCTATATGCATTGACTGGATGTAATGTATATAATAGATGTTTGATGAGGTGTGGATGCTAAGAATGCAGTGTGGAATTATAGCATGATGTCTAACTTAGGATTTGAGGAGATAAAATTATTTTGAAAACTGAAGATCCCACATAGGGTATCTTAGAGTGGTGCTCGGGTAGGCCACTGTTTAGAAAACCCTCCTTGAGTAGGTGTGTCTCTTGGAGTAAGTTTTGAGGTGTGTTGAGTCTCCTCCAAATCCTTAGTTAGTGGTTGAGTAAGGTAGGTGGTCGAGGGCTACAACCTTTAACCAAGTACCTGGAAAGGTTGCATGGTTCCTTGAAGATAATCAGTGGGCGAATTCTATATGTGACTTGGTAATGCATGTCAAGGTCGTGGTAAGCCTATATCCAGTTGTACTACCTAACGGTGGAACTGGACTTTTCTAGTGTAAGTGATGAGACCTGAGAAACCAAAGGAGGGATTGGTATCCCATTTTGCTATGATTGAGTCGGCGCTTCAGGCGTGAAAACAATTGTGTTGGTTCGGTAGGGTGGAAAATCACTTAGACTGCTCTTGTTGTTAGGAGATCTCCTAGTTGTATATGCGTGACGACACATTAGTTGATGTTGCATGTGTTGTTGCATTCAAGTTGCATATAATGTTATATGAATGAGTTGATAGTTGAATTATTGTGTTAAAAAATATGTGATTGTGCTGTGATGATGAGTTATTGATCACTAGGACTAGAGGAGAAGTTTTCGAAGTTGCTCATCTCATTGTGTGGATTGAGATAGTTGTGGTGCTCTAAGAGCCCAATTTGTTGAAAAACCCTCCTTGGGAAGTTGTCCCTTGGAGTGGATGATGTCTAAAGTTTAGTGGAAAACACACAGAAGGGGGGTTGAATGTGTGTGCGCGAAGGATTTTGAAACCGTTTTCACAAAGGGCTTCTTTTCGTCTGAAAATAATATTTTAGATACTTAAAGATTGTGCAAGATTGGTTTAAAGAAAACTTTGCATCTGAAGATCTATCGTCTGAAGGGTTCCACTAATCATAACGAATTACAAGTATTCTTAACCACTTTTGGTTCGTCAACTTCACTTGCTGACACTAGTATTCTTAAACCACTCCTGGTTCTACAAGTATTCTTTTGCTAGTCTCTTTAGACTTTACAGACGATAAATGTTTTGAGTGTGTATGTGACTCTCATAGAGAGAATAAAATGGTTTATACGCTCACTAAGGTATTCAACCTTAATTTTTCAAGGATGTGTTTAGAGTGTGTATATAACTCTCACAGAGAGGATAAGGTAGTTTCTACACTCACTAAGATAAACTATCTTAGTTTTACATGGATATTCAAATCTGAATAGGAAGAGAAGTGAAATTGTTTTGACGCTTGTTTTTGCTTATTGCTTGTTGCTTCTCTTCTTCTCTTCTTCTCTTCTTAGATCTTGATATTTATAGCCTTGTGATAAATCTGACCGTTGTTTGAATTTGAATGTTTTCGTTGAGGCGGAGCTTTCCATTGGTGCAGATGATCGCTTCGTTTATGGCTACACAGATCTTTTTCATTTAATGCGTTTGATTTTGCATTAAATGTTTTGCTTGCTAAATCTGTGTTACGTGATGTCCTTTGCATAATTTGTTCCTTTTTATTTCTGACTTCAATCATGACCTAGGTATGTTTGTCCTTTTTCCGTCATTGTAGCTGTGAAGGCGCTGCCTTTCTCTGAAAAGTACGTGTACTTGCCCTAACACATGCAGCTTTGACTTGAGAATCCGCACTCTTCACTTTCTTTCTTTTCATTTCTTTGATAACTCTATGTGCTTTTCTTGTAAGTGGAGATGATATATGATCTTCTTCGTTGTGACTAGTGGACTCTAGACGTTTTTCATCATACTTCGTTTCTGAAAATTTGAGTCTCCGTCTAAGGGTTAGACTTTGACTTTTTCATCTCGTCTGATCAATCTTGAGGGTGAACGACTTTTATTCCGTCTGGAATATTTCTTCGTCTTAGGATATCCAACGACTAATGATTATTTTGTTGACCTATATGTAGTTAACCATTGAGCTTCATCTGATGTTTATTTGGTGCTGAGCCAACTTTGTCTTGGTCTTGTTTTGCTCTTGTTTCTAATTTCTTATATTGCGCTCTAGATTGTTCTTGGTACATCTTCGTTTGGTATTCATTTTCGTCTGGTGCGCAAGTCATGATCCTTCTATTCTTTGTCTTGATTTGCCTGATTTTTGTTTTGTTCGACCTTACTTCATACTTTAGTTTTGCCTGTTCTTATACATATATGAAACACTATTAAATAGATTAGTAATAACAGTATGTATTATATTTGTCATATTCAAAACCTCGTTGGGAATTGCTTTGTCTGACTTAACAATGTCTTCTTCTCCTCTACGACTTAGTCAGTCCCTTGTGTGGGCAAGGTCGAGGCACACATGTATGAAGCGACACAATATAGGGGCCAAACCGAGCTATACCGATTACAAGCGACCAATTAGAGTAAAGTACGATGTGTTGAAAATGTTGTTGCTATTATGATGAGTTGTCTAGTAGTTTGCGTTGAGGTGTTCATAGTGTGTTGATTAGTGTTGATGTGTTGAATTAAGTTGAAATGATGTTAAGATGTGTAG